AGAATTTCTTTAAAATTTTTCCTTTTAATTTGGATAATTCAGTGGAAAAAAGACTTCACGTATCGCAGATGGAAAAGTAGACTATTATATGACTACAGAGGGATCAACGGTTTCTATGAAGCGCAGCCAGTGCTTCCCCGATGATTATGGGATACCCCATCACTTGTACAGATTCTCTTAGCTTTCTCAAGAAGACCCAATGCAACCTTCTTACTTTGTTGTTGAACATAGTTAATTAGATCCATGGCTGTCATTTAAAAATATAAAATAATGATAATATTCTGCATTCTATTAGTTTTACGTTTCTAATGTGACTATCAAAAGAAATTCACTACATAATAACAAATAAAAAGAAATGAGTGTCACAGACATTTCACATTCCGAAAAGAAGAAAAAGAGCATTTGCAAACACATTATGTTTTTGAGATCCAGTACATAGTTCAACAATTTCCATTAGCTTCTTTTGGAATAACAGCATTGAAGATTTTAATCTGAAATCCTTAAACAGAGACAATGGAAGATAATTTCCACTTTCCAACCTACATAATCTAGTTGAGGAATGATGTATCCATACAAAATGCACGATTAACTGAACAGGACTAGAAAGAAAGAAATCCTGATTAAATTACTGAACCATATGTAAGTATAGCACCAACACTTTGGTTTTAGCGTAACTGGCTGAGAGTGGAGTATACATGCGAACTAAACCAGGTGCTGAAGAGACTACATAATTACATTTTGGAGGCAGCTGTGGAGCAGCTATGATCACAAGCGGCAAGTTCTTGATTGCTTCTTTGAGATTGTTTGAGCACCCACATGAGGGCATGATAGCTGCATTCAGTATTACTCTCATCTATGACCACCATCACCTCCATATCAGGCCTTCCATTTTCTTTTTCCATTATCATTCAGATGATACAAAATCAGAGTTTCTAACTTAAAGAATAGTGTAGTTGGTACATAAAGGTCAAGTGATATGAAACTTCACCAATTTATATCAGTATTTGTTATGATATGAAATCACGAGTGTGTTTGTTGAGCCATCTGTTCTACCTCTACACTAAATTGTTCTCTGTAAGTAACCGGGAGTTCTCTCTCTCTTTTACAAAATTAATATGGCTTAGAGTAACAGTAGAAGGATAGAGACTTGATGCATTGGCCTATAAAGTCCTTTTTCCTAACATCTACTTCCTTCAACTGTAGAATTGACAGCAAGAAATTTCATTGGTCATTCGCAGAGCTCCTTAACGAAACTTGGCCGGTTACTTCTATAATCATAACGGCGAAAGTGATTATCTGTGGCCCGTCATTAATTTGCTGGTGGACTAGTCTCGTCAGCAAATTTCAATTTTTCTTTGCCATCATGTATTTGCGATCATTTTTGCTTTCAACTTTTTCTTTGCCATCATATATTTGCGGCATATTCTTTTTCCTCCTCTCATTTTTGTTTGCTGCTCTTGTTTCTCCTTATGAAAAGGTCATGGTAACAACAGAGTCAGGTTTGTCAAAGAATCCCGGCACGAAAATTCTATCCACGTGAATTAGAATCAAGATGGTCCCCTGAACATAATTTTTATACATTTTGATTTTTGACTGATTTGTTCAACGTGCGTGTCATAACCCAAAATTTTCATATTTTTTGGTTATTTTATTGTTTTCTTATTTTTATTTTATTTTATCTTATTTTACTTTTTTGTAATTTACTAAAAAAAAAATGGAAAAAGAACAAAAAAGCAAAAAAAAATAAAAATTAGGGGATATTACAACCAAGGGTGCAATTGAACTAAATTTAAAGATAATTAAAATACTTGGGAACCCAATTGATACAATTGGATTTACAGAGACTAAAATTGCATAAAAAAAGATCCAATTGATAAAATTCAATTCACAAGGACTAAAATGGCACACAAAAAGAAATGATTACAGACAATCAAAAGCAGAAAGACCAAAGTGAAATTTGGAAACAAAAACTGGACAAATCCATGTTAAAGTTCTTCTGTAAATTTGTTCTTACACACAACATTTAATGTTGTTTGTGTTACACTCCAGACAAGAATCCCTGAGTTTTGGCTACGGATTTGAATCCGAATTCTGGGGATTTTTGCAGCAAACCTATGCTGCCATTGGCAGCCACCCATGCTGCCCCTATTGCAGCAGCTCCCCCTCACTGATTGATGTCGATTTTGGCTTATAAATAAGGGGGAGAAATAGGTTAGGAAGGTTGGAAAAAAAAAAGTTAGAAAAATCTAGGTTCAGAGAGGGTGAAAGAAAAAAAAGCAAAAGAAAGCTAAAAATTCAAAACAGCTTGGGGTGACAGTTGCTGCAATTTCTGCGCAGCTTGTTCTTGGTGTTCTTGTTTTTGGGTTTGTGTTCATCAACTGCCAGCCTTTTTAGTTCTTTGTTGTGTGTTTTTCGAGGTTAATTTTCCATCCTTAAGTGTTTCTCAACCTCCTCGTTTAAAATTTGGGTTCCAATTCTTCTATTTTTGGTTGTTCTTCTTTCGATTTCTGAGCAGCCTTGAACTTGTTCTTCATTTTCTGCGTTGGTGTTCTTCGGGCTGGGTTGACGTTCGTCTTTCCTTGAGTAAATTGAAGGGTGTTTAAGTCTATTTTGAGGGAGATTATCATTACTGGGGTGAAATAGAATAGACATCGAGTGCAAAAAAAAAAAAAAAAAAAGAAGTGAGAAATCAGTACTTGGGTTCGTCGTTTCTGGGTTCGTCACTGCTTTTTTCTGGGTTTGCTTCAGTGTTCTTCCTGTTTCCAGGTCTGCTCCTGGATTTCCTAATGTGATTTCACACTTGCATTAGTTTTAATTACTTGTTTTCCTATTTCTTTCATATTGTTACATTATGGTATAATTTAATTGGTTCATTTTTTTGGAAAGAGCTTTGAAATCTTACAAAATTTGAAGAATTAGAGAGAGAAAACATAAGAACACGAAGTACAAGAGAGAGAGAGAAGGTCTGGAAGCTGTTTGATCCGTTTCTCTTCGAAAATCCTTGCCGAGGCCTGGTTTTGGGCTTAAGCCCAACCAATTAAAAAAAGAAAGCCACGCGAGCTGGACTGACTTCAGTCCAGCCCACCCCTCTCTGCCCCTTTCTGTTAAAAAAAAAAAAAAAAAAAACGAAAAGGCTGGACTGACTTATCTCAAAAAAAAAAAAAATTAAGAGACCCCGAAGAAAAATAATAATAATAATAATAATAAGTTAAGACAGGCAGGACCCAGCCTCTCCCGAAAAATAAAAAAATAAAGAAAATAAAAATGAAGAAAAAGTAGTAGCAAAAAAAAAGGGAAGGAAAATTTGAATAAAAAATAGCAAGCGTTTGACTAAAATTTATTTAATTTTTTAAAAAATTTTATGCATGTGTAGCGTTTTGTATTTAATTTAGATATTTCAGTTGTCTTAATAATTCTTATTAGTGCAATTGTAATTTTAAATTTGTTACATGATTATTAGTTATATTTAATTTAGAATTCAACGTTTAAATTATCTGTAATTAATTTAATTAGATCATTTTAGTCATTATTTATTTTATACATTTCATGTTATTAATTCAGATTTTTACATTCAAATTGTTTTTTAATTTACTTAACTAGCATAATTTTATATTTATTTATTTAGTAATTAGACTCTATATTTAATAGATGGATAATTGTCAAATCTCCAATTTTAGGGACTAATGACGGTTTTTCCATCGACGAAAAAAAAACATAAAAAAATGATTAAAAAAATGACAACAAAAGGAGTTACCATTAGTTTATGTTAAATTTTAGAATTTTGTTTCAAAAATTAGTTTAATAGGTAAATTGTCGAGTCTCTTAAATTTTTAGGGATCGATGACAATTCTCCATCGAATAATAAGTCACCTACCTTTAAATTGGCTCAAAAAGTTTGGGTTTAAATCAAAAATAACTTAACACAAATAAAAAATTTAGGAAGATGAATTTAAAACTAAACTAGATATGATACATTTATTATGAAAAGACATTTTTCATTTCTGTAAATAAAATTAAAAAAACAATAACATCTAAACCATATAATTAGACCTATTTTTCTCGAGTCCCGTCCAAAATCGAGTAGCTACAGTTCGTAAGCACTAAGCAATGCAGTAGCTATCTTTCTACGGAAGGATAATACATCATAGGTATCTAACAGAATGTGTTACCAATTTTAGGTTTTCCATCACCTGAACAGATTTTGCTGATAATTTGTTCCTCTCTCGATGACAGGTCCATTGATGATGCGTTCAATAAGACTTTAGCGTCAATAATATTCTACACATTTGATCGAGCATATTTGAAAGATAGAGGTTTGGAATTCACATGCAGTGTTGGGAAGAAACCATGGTCAAGTAGATCAAGGAATATACTAATACCGTGAGTTGTGGAGACCAAACGGCAAGACACTCTAGTTTTATATATCCGTAAATGAAAGAGAGAAAAAACAGTAGAAATATTTGGTGACTTTTACTAATTGTTTGCAAGCTGATGGGTAAAGCATCCTCAAAGCATTGAGTTAGCAATGGATGATTTTGAAATTCTGAAAAACAAAGTTGAGGGTGTTAATGATCACTGGAGGACAATTAGGCCATTGTTATTGGGATGTCCATTGAGGGAGATGGCAAGCTAACACAAATAAGCAAGCACAATTTACCAAACATTTCTACCGTTTCTTTTCCTTATCTTTTTGCGAGCTAGTTATGGAAATGTTGCCATATTTGAGAATGATCTGAAATCATAGAGCTGAAGGTAATCCATGTTAACAGAAGCCATACTAGCTGAGATGAATTTATTTGGTTAAATAAAATACAAACACAACCTTTCGACAAGATCTAAATATCAAACTTAACAAACAACATCCAAACATTTTGAGAATTATTTTGTGCTTGATATACAATAAGTTTGTTGTGACACAGAAAACTCGACTTACTGATTTCCTTATAAACAGAACTTGGCATTCTGCTTCACACGATAGCAACGCAGAAACAACAATGTCCTCAAACTGCAGGTTTCTTCACAACAAGAACAGGGCACTTGGCATTGTGCACACAATAGTTGCTGACACTTCCCAGAAATGCCCTGTCCCAGAAAACTTGACTTAAAACCAATCATTTGTAACTTTAGTCTCTCTAGCAACAAACTTGACTTAAAACCAACCATTTGTAACTTCAGTCGATTCAGAAGCACCTATGTTTGCAAACAATAGCACAAAGATAGTTTTATTTTTTTCAAACCAACTGTATACACAGTTGATTTATCTCCAGGTTAAAACAGGAGATATGTTTTCCATCCAATTACATTTGAAAAGTCATTTTCATTAATACCTCCCTCTCTCTCTCTCTCTCTCTCTCTCACTTTCCACTAAAAAGGCACTTTAAAGATTTTAAGCCCAAAAAAAAAAAAAAATAAACCGGTGACATGCTTCTTTTTCCTCCCTTTTTTTTCCCCTATTATTTTGTAAAGATAGATGAAGAAAGAAGAACGCATATGACATTTCACAAGAAAAGACTAACCTCTGAACAGGTCCCCGATTATGGCTACCTAAAATAAGTAAGTCGATGTTGAGCTTTTCTACAGCTTCACATATTCTCTCTTTAGGATCCCCAATCTCTGTCAGCGTCTCTACAACAATCTTTAGGAAAATAAAAGTGCATTAACGTTTCTGCATATGACAACAGGCATAAATATTTGATATGCAGCAAGTATACTTGTACTTAAATGCATTTTATTTCTGGGAAGGAACTTCCATTTATCTCTCAGCTACAGTGGCTTCAATTTACCCACTCACTCAACATAATATATGGATTATGTTCAATAACAATCAAAAATTTCATTCTCCAATCACAGTACTGAATAAACTACATGTCCAAGCTGAATAATTTATTAACGAACAGTTTAATAAAATAATGGAAACCATTACCCCACGTTTGGCACAAATATCTTTAGCTTTATCCAACAGAAGTAATGCACACTTTTTTTGATTTTCTTGTATAGATGTAACCAAATCCACGGCTGCCAAAAAACAAAAAAAACAGAGAGAGAGAGAAGTTATGACTGTTTCAATTGACTTAATTTAAATGGGTTGAATTATGCTTCAAAATCAACTTTGTTCCCTTTTATATAATTACTTCAAACAGTAATGAATGCTTATTAAGGAATTGAGAAAGAACTTACGAGCAGTGCCTAAAGTGGAAGCATAGATATAACCAATATCAGAATTAGGCTGTGCAGTGAAGATGATAACAGTAGAGTCAGCGATGGACTCTCTTAGCTTATCAAGAGTCCATTCAAGAGCGTAGTGGCTACTCTCACTCTCTTCTATTGCCACCATCACCTTCTTCTTTTCACTACTCTTTCCCTGATCCATTATTCTGTAATAGCACCACAATAGCTCTAGTTTTCTCTTAACTAACTGCAATCAAGTCTCTCTAGCTGGTTTCTCTAACTATATATAAAAGGCTGGTGGTTAGGATCAAGTGCTCCACTGACCCCAACGGTGCGGTGATTTTCGGACCGTTGACGGAAATTCAAGAACAGTGCAACAATTTGTAGAATTGTAGTTGAGTATAGTTCTGTTTCTTGGTCTTACCAGACAATCAAACCAAACACGTGTTGTAAATTTACATTAGTTACGACTGTTAGTTGAGTTTGGATAGAGATGTGTTCAAAACAGAGATCTCGTAGAGATTCCAAGGCGTGTACGACTGAGATGCTTTCTAATGGGGACATCTGTTACATTTAATAGAGCCTAGACGTTTCTACATTGCCTCCATCTCTCTCCTAAGAGAGAGAAAATACTGTCGAATTTTTGACACGTCGTTCGGGAATATAGTAGTACGAACTTTCTAGCTCTTTCCCTTGCTAATCTAAATTTATATCCTCTAATAATATTGGGTTTCAGAGCAGAGAGAAGAGCCCAACCATTCGAAGTTTCCATTCCTTTGGGATCCCTCAAGCCATTTATCTCCACCAAATATGTATGGATGGACCTCTGAGATTGGCGAGACCTCCTTTTCTTTTACAGGAAAAAAAAAAATGGGAGTCCATTTTAAATTGTCCACAATATCGAGCTTTGAAGGAATGTAGGTTTCGTTCGGTTAAATTGGGTACGAATCTCAGGCAATAGAAGCGGCTGCGAGAATAAGAGTTCCTTTGAAGGAGTATATGGTATAGCCAGAAGTAACAAGGATTGAGATGACGAGCATTATCAGCTCATAACTGTACTATACCATGCTCCCTGCTCAGAGCCTCTAAACACTCGATATCCAGCAACTGAAAATTTTAAGCCCGCTATATAACATCCAGTAAGGTAATCTTGCTAACCGGTTAGCCAACAGGATCAAGAGAGCAGCGACCCTTGTAGCAGCTTAAGAGCGAAGCTTCCACAAACGATCTACAGGATATTAAATCAGATATATAAACTCCTTAAGCTTTTTTTTCTTATAACCTTAGTTATTCACGTTGTAAATAAAGATAAAATCACTTATATTTATAGCCATCATTTGACCTAATAACAAATTTCTAACGCAATCATAAAATAAACATCGTTAATGAACCACATAAAATCTTTGTCTTATACAATTATTCTTGTCTTTCTATTTTATTCTTTTACTTGATTCATTTCCTAACATTATCTTTAGTATTTTCTATGCTTAATTCAATCTGGCACTAAATTTAATTCTCTACCATGAGTAATAAAACTGTTTGTAACTTGCTAATCATGATTGAAGAAAAAAAGAAAAAAAGAAAAACCTGTTTACAACCAAGAATGAGAACTAACAATAATCAGAAAAGAAATATTAAAAAGTACTTTCCATCCATGGTCAAGATGTTTCCTAGGTCTACTAGATTTAATTCTATAAGTATGCCCTTTTACCTTCACCCTTTTCTTATTTTTTGGTGAAGTTCGTCTTCTTATTCTGGTTCAGTAGTCAGTGCAACTGACAAGTATCTTACGAATTACAATTGGCAATGTATCACAAATTTTTATGCTTTCTTGTCACAATAAATTTACTTAAGACTCCTCATGCCGAAGGAACTGAACAAATTTAGATCTGAATTGAGGTGGAATACGAACAGGACGATAATTTTTATCAAGCCAGACAGCTGTTGCTTTTGCTTCCAGAATTGGCTGCATAAAATGCAATTTGGGCCACTGAGAATTTGAGAATATACAGGACAAATCCTTAAAATATGTACCCTAATTGTAAGGGAGATAATAGATTACCTCTTCTTTTGGCAGTCTGACGATGAAGTGTTCAAAGTATAGGCGAGCAGCAGAGGAACCAGAGACCCTTACCTTTACAACAAACCTGTCTCCACTCTAGAAAATAATATAACAAAAATTTACCAGAAACTAGTTTAGATGTTGCTTTTACTAGTTGCAGCACACATTGCTAAACACAATTACTAAACTTTCATATCAAGCACAGGGCAAGTGCCTTATCATAGTTGCATTGTAACAAATGCACATGAAAGAACTTACAGGTGCCCAGTAATATCCTAACTGAAATGGAGTTTGGACAAAAGTTGGATGTTAAACCCCTCCCACCCTTCCGTGAAGAAGCAGCCATTACCATCTTAGGCCTTAACTTTGATAAAGATTAAAGAAAAACGTGTGCAAGGCAATTAAAAATACAAGGAAGTTTCAAGTTTCAAACCCGTTCTTCACTATTAGAAATCATTCTACTCTTCAGGAACAGCTAAACTAACTACATTCTCCAGTGTTCCTTGCTCTCTTCCTCATTTAGTTTGTTAGAAAAAGATAAGAGCTTGGCATTCAGATTCGGAGGGTTACCAAATAAACAGGGCAAAACACAAAGGATTAGCATAGTTGATAAAGATAAAGATGCAAATGCATACTCTAAGCGGCGCTAGGAATTTGAGTGACAATTCTGACAGTGCCAACGCATCTCCAGTGCGAGCAACTGCATCAGCACTGACACCAATCCTCTCCAAAAGCTCATGACGACCTGATTGAAATTAAAATTGCTGATCATGGATAATGAATTTATATTTTCTTCATTCCAATTTTCCTCTCTCATCTATCAAGGTAAAAAAAAAATGACTTATAAGTAATTACCATGTTGGCAATAACTGGCGTAAACAGCATTGTTGACAACTCCGTATTGATCCAGCTCGTAATCACGCACTTTAAGCTCCAATTCCACCAGCCCACTCATTCTAAAAAAACCCATTTCCATCATTTCCTGACAACAAAATCAAGATCAAAATAATTACTCCCGAAAGAAAGAAAGACAGATTACCCTTTGCCTGCTTTGAGATCGAGAAACGGTAACGAAGTGCAGTTTCTGACGGTGGGGAGTGACCGGGAAAGTGGCCGGGATGTTGGAAATGGAACGGATGAGGGTTGACGGCGAAGAAGGAGCCATTTTGTGTTGGGACGTGAGGGCGTAAGAACCGTCACGTGTGGTGGGGGGTTTAATCCCAATGCCTGCAAAATCATAATTATAGGACACTACAACTAACTATCGATGCTGTTGGGATACGTGGGTGGCAAATAGCATTTGTAAATACTCCACCTTCTTCTTCTTCGTCTTCTTCTTCTTCCTTCCTTCCTTTTTTTTTCTTTTTTTTGGCGTTGGAACCTAAGCAATTCCAATAGCGAACTTGATCTTTGTACTACTAGTTTTTTTTAATGCAGGTTAAGCCAAAAAAACCATGTAAAATAATTTTAAAAAATTATTTCGATTTAATAGTTCATGCTATACTATGAATTTGTTAAACTATATTAATTGAAAATAAAATAAAATAAACTAATTTTTTATTTTTAATCAAAATTTTATATTTTATTAATTCTTTATTATGTTTTTCATAATATATATATATATATATATATATATATATATGAAAGAATTGTTCTACTTCATTAATGAATTCTTAATTAAAATTTATAATAATTTAAAACAAATAATATGAAATGTAAAAAAAAAACTCATAATTTTAATTTTATAAGACTATATCGTTAAAACAAAATAACAATCAATGTAAAAACTTGTATTAAAAAAATGAATGAAAAAATTATTTTTGATTTTTATTTAATATTGATGAGAAGATTAGTTTTTGAAAGTTTGTATATTTTATTTTTGATATATTTATTAATAAAATTATCAATAATATTAGAAAAAAATGTATTTGAATAATTTATTGGTTCTACAAAATATAATTTTAATTATTTAATTTCAAAAAATAAATCCATAATATAAATAAATAAATATTTTAATCAATTTATTTTTAATAGATAGGATATTTGATGAAATTATTAATGTTTTAAGTTATTCAAATTATAATTTTTTTAAAAAAATAATAACTAAACTTTATATTATCAAGAATAAAATAATAAATTGTTTTTAACATTTGTACAACGCAAATTTATTATATTACCATCTACATCTTCAATTAACGAGTTAAAGGTTCTATTAATGAGATTATAAAAAAAAAAACACCAAAATACCATTATATAAAACCCAATGTCAAACACTTATCATTTCCCCACCATCATTCTTTTCTTTCTTCGTTCTCTCTCCCTATCTCGTTTTCTATTCTCTCAACGCATTGACAATATTGAAAATCACCATTGAAACCACAAAAATATAGATGATTTGCTACCCAAAAAAAAAAAAAATTGACAAAGCCACGACAACAAATCATTGCACTCCTCTCCATCCTTTGGCCCTAGAAAATCCTCCACGTCCACCAAATTTACTCCATTGCTATTGTCGGCACCCATTTTTAACTCTCAATTTTTAATAATTTTTTCAAAAAAATTATTTTAAATATTTTTGTTTAGTCAAATGATTTTATCAAAATTTAAACTTTTTATTAGTTTTTTATGAATTTTTATAATTGTTGTGAGTTATTTCTAAGCATGAGAGAGAGAGAGAGAGAGAGAGAAGAAAAAGAAAAAGAAAAAGAAAAAGAGAAGATAAAAGAATGAAAAAGAAATAAATTTAAAAAAGAGCTTTTCAATTGAAACAATTGAGAAAATAGAGACCAAAAAGGTTTAATTGGTAACATAATTGGAAGAATTGAAAACTCAATAGCCTTTAATTGAAAACGAATTCGGACAAAATTAAAAGAATCAAAAGGAAGGGATGAAAATAAACTTAATTAGGGGTGAAATTAAAAACAAATAAAAGTGTCTTGGACCAAAGAGGAAAAAATCCCTCTACATAAGGGACTAAAAGAAAATTTGACTACACAACCCTAAACCCTACATATAAAACCCATTTTTCTCTATTCTTTTCTTGTTCCTCTCTAACCCCCTCCCCCCAAAAAAAAAAAAACTAGAAAAATCCTTCCACTTCTTTCCACCACCATTGTCACCACCACCGACCACCATATCCATTATCTCAAGCCTTCAATAGCAGACCATTCTACCAATCATCAAAACCCATAAGTTATCCTCCTCTCCTCCAAGCCCGAATACCTATTGCCTCAAAACCCATTACCCAATTATGTCATCCTCTCTCCAAACCACTTGTCATGGTTCTTCTCGCCATCCTTTACACCACAAACTCACTTGAACTCACCATCCTCATCACCTAAATGACTCATCAATAGCTATTGAAACTTTAGCCACCACCCATTATGATCGAATAACACCCCATCCCTATAAATTTGTTGCCTCAACTTTTGTTTGTTCACCAAGTATGCTTGTGAATCTCTCATGTCGGAAATCACTCCAAAATGCTCCCACTTCTCTTGATTGCTTTTATACCATGTACGGGGACAAAGAGACTTGAAAGAACTTTATTAGCATGTTTAGATTCCAAGAATGATTGTGTCTATCGCCTTTGATGGTTTTAACATCTTGATGCCTTCAAACATACATAGCACTATTCCCTCTAAAGGTGCTTGAAAGTTAAAGTTTTGTCCAAACAAAACTATGTTAAACAAACATAGTTTGTTTAAACAAGCATACGATGTTACGGAAAGTGGTTGGTCTCTTCTTCCCTTTCTCAATGTGTTTTTCTTCGTCCTTTTAAGTACATTTGATGTGGTAAAGCGGTAAAGTTTCTTCAAAATGCTACTCAATTTAATTTTATGTTTTATATATTTTTGTATCTAAGTTATGGATGGGTTTCACTATACTTGTTTAGGAAAGATAATCGCGTCTTCTAGTAATTTTTATGAGCAATATTTGTTATTTAGAGATAGAGTGTTTTAATGATGTCCCAATTTTAGATTGTGTGTTTCTTCTTTTCTTTTAAACTAACATTTCATTCTTGGTGAAATTTTAGATTGTGTACAACCAGACCCTCCAATGATAACATAATAACAAAACTTGTAAGAGGAAAGAAGAGCAATGATGAATGGAGGAGTATTTAATGAAGTGGTGGAAAGGATTGGTAATGAAAAAAAGAGGACCGAGAATGACAAAATTAAAAATAAATAATAAGGGAAATAAGATAATTGTAAAAATCCACACAATGGCACAAGCAAAAATAATGAAAATACGGAAAGGCAAGAACACCGCAAAGCAATGAAAAAAATAAGGAAAATGCATGATAGAAGATATAATATCTATAAGTTTATAAGAATAGTAAAAACTACAACGTTTTATCGTTTGGTTTTAGTTTTTTTTTTTTTTTTTTTTGTAATGTAGTTTTGCTAGTATTTTACTTCATCTTATTTTTTATTTTGCACTTTGTTTCTTTTTAAGTTTGTTGTGTACTTTTTATATTTTAACTTATCCTCCAATTCTTTTAATCTCTATAATTTTGTTATATACATCATTTAGATTTTATAAAAAGTAGAGGAATCAATTATAATAAGATAATTACATAAGTTATGCTCCCTAATTGTTAGGAGGAAAATGGGCAATTACATAATAAAATGAAACATGATCAAAATAATAACAAAATATAAAGAATTATAGCACAAGAATAAGAAGCTACAACAGAACATGACGCACTATCAAAGATCATGGAGCACTCGTAAAAGATCATGAAGGAGTCGAAAGCCTATGAATACCAACTATAATAAAGGAAAAATGACACAAAAATCAATAATCAACTCAAAAATACTCACATAAAGAAAAAAATATCTCAAGTTTCGGTAGTTATGAAACTTATTAGGCGATAAATTATAGGTAGTGGTTGGTAGGTAGTAATCAAAGTGTGCTTGATAGATTATTCTCCGATACTGTATAATCGCCGTAACTTATATCTATAATCCTTTAAAACTGAATTCTTATACGAATATCATATCTAGAAAAAAATCTCAATCTATAAGCATCTCTTTCTCATCAATGAATGAAAATTCCTTTTAAGTTTTAAGCATTATTTTATCTTTTATTTTAAAATTTTCTTAATTGAGGCTAGTACAAAAGAACTCCAACCAGATCTTGTGACCATAGTAAGAGTGTTAATCATATTTTTGATATAGCACCAAATTATTAAGGCTTTAATAGAAAAAAGAGCCACTTTAAAAGATGTCAATTTTTGGAACTTATTATCCGAGCAATTCTCTAAAGAAGAATTGTAGTGATAAGAATGAAATTTATGATAGAAAAAAGAGTCATTCCATAAGATGTCAACTTATGGACCTCAAAAGAAATTAAAACAAGAAGTTTATGAGATTCCTAGGCTCTTGAGAAAGGTTTGTAAAGAAATAGATGTCAAACATAAGGCATTTGCTTAGCAATTAGAAGAGCAACATACGTTGAAAATAGAAGCTATAAAAAATCACTACAAGGAACTAAAGTTAACTTTCAATAAGATAACTCGTCCGTAAAAGAATTTAGTGACTTTTCGAAAGAATGTAGGAGGTTATGATGAAAGATGTAATTCATCATTTAGATCTAAACCCCTACATAAAGACTTTAAGTTATTGGAGAAGTTAGTCATCCTATAAAAAAAATCCTCTCGTATATCTAAATACTAATTCTGCTAGAGTTAAAAGCTCTAATTATAAGTTTGTAATTAGTAATTATGTTGAAGTTGGAAGCTTCAATTACAAGTTTATAGGTATTAATTCTATTGAGGTTGAAAACTATAATTACATGTCCGTAGATACTAATTTCGCATGAGTTATAAGCTTTAATTATAAGTTTATAGATACTAATTCTACCGAGGTTGGAAGTTCTAATTATAAGTTTGTATATATTAATTCTACTATGATTGAAAACTTTAATTACAAGTCCGCATGCATTAAGTCCGTAGGGACTAAAAGTTGCGGTTCCAAGACTGTAAATATAGACTCTATAGAAATTACAAGCTCTAAATACAAGTCTACGGATATTAAGTCCTTAAAAACTAAAAGCTCCAATTACAAGTCTGCAGATATTAACTCGCAGAGACTAGAGATCTTAGTTACAAGTTTATAGGGACTAGAAACTATAATTACGGAATTAAAAACGAAAAACCTT